GAAGGCAAACCCCCCCCCCCCGGTCATGGCGTTGGGCAGCCTCCTCATGCGCAGCCCTGACCCCTCGGTGTCTGCAGCCTCCGGGGGTCGGGGAGAGCAGAAACCCCCCGGGCAGGCACAGCGTAGTGGGGCGAGGGGCCATTTTCTCAGGACAGCAGCGTGGGATGGCAGCAGCACCCTGGGAAGGCCACTCAAGGCGGTGGGCGAGATGGTCTTTCTGAGTGGCAGATGGTGGGCGAGGTGTCAAAAGGGCCTTTCGGCGCTGAGGAGGGAGCCGTGGGTGCCCCCTTGGCCCGGGGATTCTGGGGGAGCTGGATTCCAGCAGGCACCCTCAGCAAAGCTCTCACTGCATCTACCAGCAGCACCCAGCGAGGAGGCTCACCCTTCCCTTACTTGGCAGGTGAAACAACCACCGAGAACCTTTTTATTTTCCTTTTGGGTGGATTATTTTAGAGTATTATTAAAGCATTTCTACCAAAGAAGAAAAGGTGGCCGTGTTTGACACCCTTCACCATCAGTGCCGCTAGCTCGGCAGCACATTTTCTGGTTTTCCTGGGACTCAGGCCCCTGCAAGGGAAGTGGGGGCCTGAGTGCAGGCAGAAGTGCTCAGAAGAGCAACCGAGCCACCCCAGCCCCCCTCCAGCAGCCACCAAGTCATTCCTGGGCCACTGAATCAAAAAGGTGGCTCCAGCGGGAGCTCACCCAGCCTGGCCACCACAGCCCCCAGCTCCGGGCCAAAGCTGGTGCTCACTCCCCTGTGCTGCCTTCCCCTAGAAGCCACATCTCAAACCCTACTTAGCCTAGCCTTAGGCATTGAATAAACATCCCTACAGTTATTTTTAAAGATTTTTTTGGGAACCTTTAGCTCCATGCAAGATGTAGAAATGTTAAATACTTTGGCAAGTTCTTCCCTCCAGGGTTCATGTTCTTCCTCCTTCAGGCAATAAAACGGTTGTGGGAATCGCTGAGGATAACAACTCACCATGTGCAATGCTTTTTTTTCATTGCTCTGCCTTTGTCGGGAGAGTTCCGTAGGAGGGACTGACCATGGTGAAATCCTGGCTGCAGTGGAGTCGAGGAGAGGTTTGCCCTTGGCTTCTGCATGGCTCCTTTAGCATCTTGCAGGGCACAGAGATAGTAAATCTGCTTCAGGACTCAGCTGAGAAGGCAGCGCTGGCGAAGCACATGCTTTGGGCAAGACAGAGCGGCCACTGTTCCTCTTTTCCCTCGGAAGGGGTGTCATTTGTAACTACACAGACACGAATTTCTCCACAGACTAGAACTGAACTGCCTCAAATGCAGGAAGGATTGTTATGCCAGTTGTGTTGCTCAGACGTGCGGCAGCTGAACGCCTTGAAGAGTGGTGTGTAATTGCAGAACACATTTTATTTCAACAGTGAATCATAAATGCTAAGCTGTGAAAGAGCTCTCCTAGGATTCATCCTGTTTGTCCCCTTGCCAATGCCAAACTGTTCCCAGGGCTGCGTTTTCCAGTGCTCTGCTCTGATTCAGAAGCGCAGGAGCAGCTCAGTGAGGCGCGTGCTGTCGAGGTGAAGGATCATAAGCCTCGAGGGCTGAACTTTGGATTTAAGAGGCGAAGTTGTGGAAGGTTTTCATTAGCTTTACTTTAAGCATCTTGGCTACAGACTAAGCTCTTTGCTCACGCCACACTTGCAGAGGCAGGATCCTCCCTGCCTTACTGGCAGCAGAGCCTGGACTGGAGCACTGAGGCAGGGTGCCAGAGGCTGGCCATATGAGGCACGGCCAAGCCCCACATCGAGAGCAGCAGGAGGGAGTGTCTCCCCTTTCCCATGAAAGGGGGCAGCAGTGTTACCCCTCCCCATCCAAAGATGGGACCAAATTTCAAGAAGTCCAGGTGCCACCATGTGCCTTGGGTGCTGCTCGGGTGCCCTTGGCCCCACACTGCACTCAGCATTCAGGCAGGTCCCCATGGCCATCACTTTTCTCTCATCTCCTCCCAGCCTGCAACCTCCTCAGCAGCCATTTCCCTTGGATTTCTGGCTGGACAAGCTTCAGTCAGAGCTTTGTGTGCAGCTTCAACTCGTTTGCCACTTGCCAAGACAGCCGAGTGCTCCCGCAGCTCAGCATGAAGACATGCCCAGGGAAACCAAGACTGGCAGCATCCCCATCCCCACAGAGTTTTGCTTACCTCCTGGGCAGCCTGGATACACAAATCATTCACTGGGCTTTGGCATTGACCTCACCAGTTATGCAACATCCAAGTCTTCCATGTATTTTCTCATCTGTGACCCTGTGTTTTGGCTGTCATGCTTTGGCAGCTAAAATGTTTGTTTTAGTAAGCCCAAAAGATTTGCCAAAGGGGAGAAAAAAAAAAAAAAAGAAACCTCTTTGAAAACAAATTCAGTAGCAGGTTCCTGCCCTGCCACGGGCTGCTTCATCCCCATGTGTACCTGGTGCCAGGCTGCTCCCAAAGCAGAAGCAAAGGGACCCTGTGGGGATGAGGGTCACCCTGGTCCCCACCAGCTCCAGGTCCCCACCTGATGGAGGGGGTCCAGGTGCAGGGCTGTGCTTCACGGTGTTGCCCCCCCTAGGGATCGGCAGCATGGCCAGGCAGGCTGCCAGGTCCCAGAAATCCCCCTCCCACAGTGTTCCCAGCAGGCTCTGCCTGGCTTATTTCATCCCAGAGCCCCAAACTGCTAAATGGCTTGAATCAGCTCTGAGACAAGTGCATGCCCATCACTTGGGCTCACAGTAGACATCATGGCTGACACAGCACTAACACTTCGATGAAAAAATGAAAAAAACCAAATCAAGCCCCAGATGGGTGCCCACTCCCCTGCCACAGGCTGTCTGTGCAGGCACTGTCACATTCCCCGCTGCCTGGCCCTGGGTTTGGCCATTAGCCTTTGACAGAGTCCCTATGCTAACTGACGGGTGCCAGGGCAAAGGCAAGGCTCGTAGAGGAAATTGCTGCTTTACTAGACCAACAAACAAGCTTTTCAGCAGCTCCAGGAGCAAAGGTTCAAGCTCCCAGAGCAGCCTGGCCGCTGCTGCCTGCAGGCAGCAGAGCTCACCAGGGCAGCCACTGTGCTCACGTTCACACTCTGCATGAGAACTGCCCAATTTTGAGCCGTCTCTTGGAGTCCAAGATTGCACAGGAGGTACAGAAGCTTGTCCAGGCTCCCTCAGGGTGTCTCCAGGAGCTGCGGATAAAACCTTCCCCCCTCCCGCCCCTTCCCAAGCTCCCCAGTGCTCCCGGCCCCAGGCAGCACCCAGCCCTGCGTGGTGCAGAGGCGATGAGCACAGCTGCTGAGGGTGCTTGGGGCACAAGGGAGCATAAGATGAAATAAGCAGAAAATTCGGGCTTTTTTTTTTCCTTTCAACCTTCACTTGCTTATTTTCTTTTGCTCAGTTTCTGTTAAAGGAAAATTTCCACTTGGGTGGGTGGACACAGCTCGGGGGCTGCCCAGCGAGTCCAACCCCCCGACCCATGAAGACAATAACACTGTCACAGCATGAAATTAAAATGATTCACTGCTAATTGTGTGGGGTCACAGCCTGCTGTGTGTCTGTGCAGTAGGGGAAGAATTTTGGTTCCGCAACTGAGAACTGTATTACTGGCAGAGAGCACTGCTGGGGGTTCCCCTTCCTAGAGGCACGAGAGTCAAATACAAGATTTCATCGTTCTAGCCATACGTCAGTTTTCTCGCATAAATTACCAAGAATAAAATCCCACGAGGGGCTCAGTAAAAGAAGCCCTTGCTGAAGACAAGGTCATTGCTGTGCTGGCATAGCCCCGGGCACAGCTTCAGTGAGGGAGCAGCCCCATGCTGGAGCAAAGATCCCTCCATCCTTAGTCAGGCAAAGCTGTGGCTGCCCCACAATTAAACAACAAACACATGGGATTTTAAAGCAAAGGATCATATGAGAATAAAAGGGTTTTCTGAGTCACCCCATCTCCTTCCAGCTTTAAAAATTCAATGATGCCATAGAGTTGGAAACAATTTAATTTTAAAAATACACGCCTTGGAATAATCAAAAGCACAAATGCTATGTAAAGCTAAATTTAATTGCCTTTCAGTTTACTGCTGCATCTGAAATAGCTGTTTTTCCAATAGCTATCTTGAATCCCAACTTTACAGTCCCCATGATACAAGAGGTCTGGCAAAACTTCAAGTCCAGGCCACTGTTTTACAGATGGAGTTGCAGCCGCTCATGAATTCTCTTGTATGGATGTGGCCCATAGCAGGCATTGCAAGCTAGAAAGCCAGGATATTTTATCTGGCTGCTTTTGCATGGGAAATTCTCTTTATCCTAGAATTTTTTCCTAGTCTTCACCCCCTGCACTCTGTCTGCAAGAAGCCCAACTTTGGTAAATTTACTAAAAATACAGGGATGTGTGGTCCCATGCACACACCTCCCTGGAAAAAAACATGTCAGTGCTTCAATAAAAAACTGATAAATGTTGTGGGTTTTACATAAGGCTCGGGAATATACTAAGGGTAGAGAAAATTATGAGTGCTTCCCTGAGTTTCTTAAATGTGCACATGAGTAAATCCCCAAGTATGACATAAAATCCCTATGTAGCTATCCATCTGGTGTGCTGATTTTCAGAGGAATACACACCAAGAGTAAATACTGTAAAATGTACCATACTGAAGTCGACAAGTCCTTGGAGACAAAACATGTAAATACAAATGGTGCACAAAATTATTTGGTCCCAAATTAAAATTATTTAAAATTGACTATGTTAATGAGTTCACTGATTAGTGGTAACGTAAGAGTGCTACACATTGTCTGAAGATGCACGTAAAATGCTGTTAAACTTGTAGGTAATGTCATGCTGCCAGTTACATCACCTGCCTGCCTAAACCATGCTCTTGGCCGTGGTATTTCTTTTCACTAGTTAAAAGAAAAAACAAACACAAAAACTAGTCCTCAGATTGACTGTAGTAAATAAACTCATGGAAAAATACAGCTGAAGCCCATTGTCATTTCAAGCATTCCTGCTCTAGCTCATAAACAGGCTTGTTGTCGGGATAGTTGTTGTTTTGTTTTGGAAACTGCATCATTAAAGCATTACTTGGAGGGGGGAAAAGGGCCAGAAAAGCTGGCTTGCACACAGACAAACGAAGAAGGGAGAAACAACTTGGATGCTGCAGTCTCGAGCTTTAGAAAGTATCTGCAGTAGAAAAAGAGAATTTGCATGAGTTCATGCCATGTATCAAGACCATTTCTTCTTTTTCCCCACCAGAGCCACTGAAGATACACAAAGTTTTTGTTCAGTGCCAAGAAACACAGAAGGATGCTACCTCCTGCTCCAGGGCCCAATTCCTTCTGGGACGAAGCAGCAATGCTCTGTTCAAGCGGTGAGTTTAAACCTAATTAAACGAGAGCAGGCTATGAATCACACATCACCTGGAAAGTCCTATTTAGGCCGTGGCAGACCTTGACGAGGTAGACATCCATGGCCTCTCTAGGGAAACCTACACTCTCCCACCTTCAGCCTGTCGCAGGCGGGGAGGGGACAGGAGCCACAGGCACCCGGGAGCAAGGGCTGCACTGGGTCGTCCAGGCAGGGCTGTGCTGCAGAGCCCTGAGGAGCACGGGGCCAGCAGGGCGCTGGCCATGCTGTGCAGCACAGCCCCCTCAAAACCGCCACGGGGTCCCCTGCCAGGCCTGAGGGACCGCGGGGCGTTTCACCCCGGAGGGTGGCAGGGGGTTACACGGGCTGTGCCCAACATATATAACCTCTGCACAGGGTAACGGATGCTCTCTCCATGCACTCCCCTGCAGGAACTGAACCTGCCTGCCTGTGGGTTTTGTACACGGCTCCATAATAACATTGTTCATGCTAAAATGTTTCTTGCTTCATCCCATTACAGCCTCAAAACCCATAAAAATCAATGGAGCCTGCACAGACCCTGGGAATAACAAGCTGGCCTAGTACAGGATGGTGGAAATGTGTGTGTGTGTGTGTGTGTGTGTATATATATATATATATATATATATATATATATATGGTTTTCAGCAAAAAGACTTCAATTTCAAGCTCTTGTGAGATTATATCATAATTTTACTACTTTGGTTTCTACTATACTTCAGTGTAACTGCATGCAATTTATTTCGGTTGCTCTGGATGCTCACTTGTCAACAAGGAGAAATCTGCAGCTGCTCTGGCTCAGGAGGGCACGGCTGTACCTGTGGGGACAGGGCAGGTGCCCATGGCCATGCTGGGCATGCAACTGTGGTCTCTGACCTGGCCAAGGCACTGATGAACAGGATCAGAAAAACACATCTGCAACAATAATGAGTTTTATGGCACCTGCAAAACCAAGGTACAAAGTGACATATTATTGAGCATCACCTCCTGGCACCTCAGATATTAACTAAATATTTCCATCCACCTAGGTGTGAATCGTTCCTTTAATACCTGATGTGCAGGCACTGGCCCCGTACTGCAGGCTTCAGTTTGGGCACACAATAGCTATAGAAGAATGCTTTTGGCCATTAAAATGAGGTGCATTGCTGTTGGAGCATAACATCTTACCATGTTACAGTAAAGATAGAGGAGCCTGAACAAAACCAAAATTATATCTCTGCCTATTTACATATTTGTATGTAAATTATACAATTAATATATATGTAAAGGAAAGTGAATCAGCTTTGCAGCTTGTCACTTCAGCAAGAATCTATGCTGAGTGATACGAAAGGGATTACAGTCCTTCCCAGGATAATATATATGTGTGTATGTATATATATGTGTGAGCATATGTCTAGAAATGTCCATACAGGTGTGTGTGAGTGTGTGTTTACATATATCCCTCTCCATGACTCATACACCATTTCTCCCACACCGAATACCTACCATACAAACACCAGCCCAGTCTCCAGGAATGCATCTGTGGGGTCAAATAATTAACCAGGGCAGCAAGTTTTCACTCTGAAAATGAAGCCCAGCTACATTTATATAAACTTTTCTGCCTCGCTAATTATGCCCCATTTGCAGTAATGTGTTTACTTTCTCCTTCCTGAAGTTAGTAATTTGTCCTTCCCTTTATTTAATTTCAGGTGGTTGATTTTGAGCCAACTCACCAATTTGTCAGAACCATTTTGAATTCAGGTCCTCTCCTTCAGAACGCTTGCAGCAACTCCTTCACCGCTGGAGTGTGAAAAAACACCATTATTTACTTTCTTCTGAACAGAAAATGGCTGGTGGTAGGCTTGCCCAGTAGGCAGCGGTGATGATTTAGCTTAAATTCCTGCACCTGGGTAAGGCATTCAAATTCCAAAGTATCTGTTCTACTAACAGAACAGACTCTCCTTAAACCAAAAGATTGTTTATTATTATAAACTCATGCCACCCCTGGAGAAACGCTCTGGAGACACCCCAGACCCTGCCCGTTCCCTGCCCATCTCCAGCCTTGGTGGGTCCATGGCAGGGACCCACAGGCCACTCACTGGCTGTGGTCACCCAGTCCCGGCTGGGATGGAGCCCTCTCAGGCACAGAGCAGAACCTGCAATCAGACCAGCCAGCCCAACCCACCAGCACAGAGGCCAGCGTCCCTGAGGATCAAGTACCCAGTTACTGCAGACAGCTTTTAGGGAATAAAGTAACATGTGGCTTCTAGAGCAGAAAAGCTCCCTGACTGCTCGTTCTTGGCTGTCCTTTTTACAGCAGCATTAAGAAATCACCTTCAAGAAGAACACAGAGCGGTTGTGTGTGCTCCTGGCCACCACCACCCGGGCCGAGACAGAAATTCAGCCATTGACAGGCCAACACCATGCGCACACACACACGGCCCACTCAGCGCTGGTGCTCCAGGTGCCCCAAATACAGCTGGATGCAGGATAGATACCTGACATGGGACATTGGAGGCAGGATGCTGGACACGGGATGCTGGATGCTGCTTTTTAGCCGTCTGGTGGAAGCAGGT